ATGCAGCGACGCGTTTGTGTCAAGTCTGCATGTGAAGTCACATACACTATCGATAACCAAACTCTTTGAGATAGTCACTACTGATTGCCAACTTAATATGTCTCAACAGGACGAAAAGGTCCAGTCTGCTTCATTTAAGCATCGAAATCAGACTAAAACTTTCAGTTTCACAGAGTATTTTTTGCAAAAAATAATTGCAGCGAATTCCAGAGATTTTTCTAACGTTAATCATAAGTCCATCTTTSGGATTGGTCAATTTATTGAGGGAAATTCATCAGCCAGTTGAAATATGATGGTCATGTATGATATCCCTACCCCAACTTTTCTTATACAGAAATCAAATGTTTTGCGTTAGTCGCTGTGGCGATGCTCAAGAATGGACATAAAACAGACTGTAAATATTTATGTGATATTTAAAAAACGAGTAGGAGTGTTTTATCGTGAGATATAAACACGAGGCCGAAGGCCGAGTGTTTATATTCACGATAAAACACGAACTACGAGTTTTTTAAATGACTTCTAAAACCCAAACCTAAGAAACTACAATATTTTAGTTTAACATAAAATAAATAAAAAAATATCAAAAATGAATAATTGATGAAGATAGCTCCATCTGAGCATGAGCAGTAATCAACTTGGTTTCCCACATCCAAGCACCACTATGTTTTAGTCTACTATGAATCTGCAATAACTGCATTTAAACTCGAAACCTAGTGAAGTTCTATGATGAGAGTCTAAAACAGAACTTTTCTAGTGTTGGGCACACATCGAGTGTCTGTAAATCAGTTACAACACTGATGTTTTATGCATGAGTCTTATAACTAACTGAATCACTTAGTTATAAAACTCATGTTTAATTAATCAGTGTTTGTAACTTGAGTTATAGGTACTGTCATGTGACCCATAGTTGAATGCTCATTGGAGGAATGTCTATTGAATATTTCATGAGTTTTAAATTTCAGTATTAAATTTCAATCGGTTTAGTGAATCTATCGCTGTATGCTCGATATTCCGCTGACATTAGCCTTCGTATGACAACCTACGCCCTCGAAGCCACAGTCATCGCTTGAACCAAATAAATGGAGACTCTGAAGGAGTATTTGAWCCCAAAACCATTCAGCCAGTATGGATACATTGTGGCCGTTTCGAATTTACTTGCTGGCTTCATTGTTGGAATAATRACCAGTATCAGAAAKACCGAAAGAAGAMACTTTAACTGCGAAACTGACAAAGACTTCTTGACAACAAAATGTTTCAACCAATACGAGCAAGATTTCAATTCTTCTCTACCGCTGTTTGGTTTTGCTTTCCTTACTTTTGGAAGTTTGGTTGTTGTTTGTATTATTTATGCCTGGTGTTTAGCGAAATCTCGAGTAGAAAAAATCGAACTACACTGCACTGCAGTGACTCCTGACAATCCTCAACCAATTCCAATCAAGACTCAACGTATTTTCGTGTATTATTTGCTCCAGTTACTAATTCGCTTTGGTCTTGGCATTTTCTTTGCTTCGCTCCAGTTGACAGGCCTTTATGCTTCAAATTTCCCTTCAAAATTTCACTGTCGAACGAATCCGAAAGGAACAAGTATTTCAACTGTGAACTTTAATGGGACGTCATCTAACTCGTCAGTTTTTCTGGACTGTCGCAACTCATTTGCTCGAGAAAAAACAAATTGGTCAAAGTCAATATGGATTTTGCATATAATCCTTACACTGCTTGTGTTACTGGAAGCMTTATGTATTTTTGCAAAGGCTTGTCGAAATAAGACTATTATGAGAGACTCTGAATTTTGCCAAAGGCATCTTTTCAATAATGTAAGAATTCCTTTATCACAAATGGATTTTGCGCTTGAAATGCATCGAATATTAATAGAGACACAGTACCTTGAACCGCTACTACCTCCAGATCCTTTTGGAGGTGAAAAGAAGAGATCTATAGATGATGTTTATGTTGATCTTATAATACATTCTGGTCGAGTCACGCATGACTTCGATTCATCAAAGAATCGCCACGAACTGTTGGMAGTCTACCTCAAAGCACCCAAAGCATCGGCAATACATAACATCAAAGACCTTTTCGTTTCCAAAGACAAGTCATACAAAAACATTCTTATTGTTGGTCGGCCTGGAATAGGAAAGACATCGCTGTGCACGAAAATCATTCGCGATTGGTGCAAAGGTGAAATAAAGCAATTCAATTGTGTTTTTCTGTTTAAATTTAGACATTTGTATGCAGACAGATTCAAGAAGATGTCCCTCGTGCAGTTTCTCAATGAATCGGAACACTCCGGAAATATAGACCCGATTGTTTTTACAAATATCAATTGCAATCCTGAATCAGTTTTGCTAATCTTTGATGGCTTTGACGAGTATAAGCATCGCAAGTACGTGGTCAAAGACCAGACCGAATTTAGTGGCTTGAATGCTTGCACTAATGAAATGCCAGCAACAGCTCTCTATGCAAAACTRTTGCARGGRAAACTGCTCTCTGGAGCCACAATCATGACAACTTCAAGACCAAWTGCTGTGAACTCACTCGGAATRTTAGRTGAAAGTKTTGATAGAGTTGCTGAAATTTTAGGATTTACTCCTAAAAAAGTCAAATTATACGTTGAACATTTTTGCGGCAAGGATAATATAGCAACAGCAAGAATGATTTGGCAGCACATACAAAGCAATATCAACCTACTGTATCTTTGTTAYATCCCAGTCACGTGTCGGATTGTCTGCTCCTTTTTAGAAGATTTTATTCAAAACCATAATGACAAAGACTCTTTTATTCTACCAACAACTCTTACTGACATTTATAAAGGAGCACTGAAGCTCTTMTTGYCTAAACACAACCCAGAATATCGGCAACAACAAACTGCTTCAAATGACTCGCATCCSCATGGTTTTTCAGGGGAAATCGAGGAAGAGTTGTCCAAACTAGGTTCATTAGCAAGAAAAGGAATTGAGGAGAATAGACTTGTTTTTGAAAAAGAAGAGGTCCAGCAATTGGAAAACTGTGGTTTGCTTAACTGCATGCCAAGCAAAGACACTCCAGCTGCAGCTGAATTTGGATCGCCGCGGGCATCTCAGTATTGCTTCATTCATTTAACTTTACAAGAATTTCTTGCAGCCAGAAAAATTACAAAGAAATGTGATATGGGTAAGATTTCTAAGTTTATAAGCTCCAAAGGAAATGATGCTGCCTGGCATCTCGTTATTCAGTTTATTGCTGGATTACTCCAAGAACATGCTTTCCAAATATCCACATGCTTTGAAAATCTGTTGTTCGAGTCGTTAAAGAATGGATGTAGTAATGTAACATTACTTATGTTCAAGTGCTTTTATGAGCTAAGCAACAGAGAAGTCGCAGTCGCAGCTGCTRAAAAGCTTGTATCTATTGATGGATTTAGAAATCRCATAGATTGCAGCGATAGTAATGTCACACCTCCTGATTGTACAGCAATTGTGTATGTATTGAGGCACTGTRRGGCTGGTCTGAATTCACTCGATATTAGCCGTAATAAAAGCTTTGGTGATCATGGTTGTTCAGAACTAATGAAGATGTTCAATGGTGATAGCTGTACACGTCATCTCGTGGAGTTACGCCTGGAAGGTAACCAAATAGCTGATCAAGGTGTAAGTTGCATGAGTGATGCACTTAAAAGTGGTAATTGTCATCTCACCAAGTTAACCTTAGGAGGTAACAAAATAGGTAATAAAGGTGTATCATACCTGAGTAATGCACTTAAAAGTGGCAATTGTTATCTCACCTGKTTAGACCTGGGATTTAACCAAATAACTGATCAAGGTGTATCATACCTGAGTGGTGCACTTAAAAGTGGCAATTGTCATCTCACCGACTTATACCTGGGAGGTAACAAAATAGCTGATCAAGGTGCATCATACCTGAGTAATGCACTTAAAAGTGTTAACTGTCGTCTYACTAAGTTACACCTGGGAGGTAACCAAATAGCTGATGGAGGTGCAATACACCTGGCTGGTGCACTTAAAAGTCGTAATTGCCGTCTCGCCGAGTTATACCTGACATCTAACCAAATAACTTCTAAAGGTGCAACATACCTGAAAGATAAGGCACGTAAAAGTGGTATCTTTAACCTTTACCTAGATCTCAACTTCGCTTAAATTTTTCTTAGACTATAGATTTCTATGACATCCATTTTTGTCAATTAACGTCTAAAAATAAGAACTTTCATCTAACCGTTCYGTCATRGATTGAATTTACCTGCAAATAAAGAGTGGCGCGTTTGTAATCAAATGATTGCACAACCAAAAAATCGGAATATGAGATGCGTTATAGACGCCTTTCATTATTTTATTCTCAAACAAAGGATAAAAGCGATCATCGTTTTGGCAATATAAGTAAGCAGCTTGAAATCAAACAATAGTTAGATTATTTTTGGTTGAGTGAAAAATAGTACAATCTAGAGAAAAAACAGTAAAACCATGAATGAAAACCAAAATAATATATTGCTTTTTATACAACTYTTCAGTAAAATCAGACGTTTTGATTGGTTGGCTTTCGTGTGTTATCAAAGTATAGATACACGGATTACGTCAAAACTAATTGTTTGTTGTATAAAACAGATAGATCTCATTTTTCGGTGTGTGTGTACTCTAATAGATACACAGATGACGTCAAAATGTAGCGAGAACAACAGTCACGCACTCGACTGCGTCTCGTGCGTACTTTTTTGTTCTCACTACATTTTGACGTCATCTGTGTATCTATTAGAGTACACACACACGGAAAAATGAGATCTATTTGTTAAATAATATATAGAATATGAGCAGGAGACGGGCATTTACAGGCACCACGGGGCAACTTTCGAGAAGCGACAGATGAATTGGACGAATGTTTCAAAATGGCAATTTTTAAAAGCAATTTCACAGACCATAAACGTAGGTAGCATGCGACACATCCTGACAAACAACGGGATGTAGAGTGGATTTCGTATGAGTGGGACACCGTTACCGCACGGTTACCGCACAGTTACCGCACCTGGCCTGCAGANCCAGTGGCTTAAATGACTGCACTGATAAAATGCCAGCGACAGCCCTCTATGCAAAACTTTTGAAGGGAAAATTGCTCTCTGGAGCCACAATCTTGACAACTTCAAGACCAAATGCTGTGAGCTCTCTTGAAATGTTGAATGTACATTTCGATAGAGTTGCTGAAATTTTAGGATTTACTCCTGAAAAAATCAAATTATATGTTGAAAAATTTTGCAAGGATAATGTAACAACAGCAAGCATGATTTGGCAGCACATAAAGAGCAATATCAACCTACTGTATCTTTGTTACATCCCAGTCACGTGTTGGATTGTCTGCTCCTTTTTAGAAGATTTCATTCAAAACCATAATGATGCAAAATCTTTTATTCTACCAACAACTCTTACTGATATTTATAAAGGAGCATTGAGGATCTTTTTRTTTAAACACAATCCAGAATATCGGCAACAACAAACTGCTTCAAGTGACTCGCATGGTTTTTCAGAGGAAATCGAGGAAGTGTTGTCAAAACTAGGTTCATTAGCAAGAAAAGGAATTGAGGAGAAACGACTCGTTTTTGAAAAAGAAGAGGTCCAGGAATTGGAAAACTGTGGCTTACTGAACTGCATGCCAAGCAAAGAAACTCCAGCTGAATTTGGAGTTCAGCAGGCATCTCAGTATTGTTTTATTCATTTAACTTTACAAGAATTTCTTGCTGCCAGAGAAATCATAAAGAGACATGATGAAGTTGATGAAATTTCTGAGTTTATAAAGTCTAAAGTAGATGATACTGCCTGGCATCTCGTAATTTTGTTTATAGCCGGATTACTACAAGGGCATGTTCAGCAAATATCCCCATGCTTTGGAAATGTATTGTGTGAGTCGGTAGAGAATGGATGTTGTCATGTAACATTACTTATGTTCAAGTGCTTTTATGAGCTCAGCCACAAAGAAACTGCAGTTATAGCTGCTGAAAAGCTTGCATCTATTGAAGGATTTAGAAATCGCATAGATTGCAGAAATAGTAATGTCACACCTCCTGATTGTACTGCAATTGTGTATGTTCTAAGGCACTGTGGGGCTGGTCTGAATTCACTCGATATTAGCAGTAATGATAGCTTTGGTGATCCTGGATGTTCAGAACTAATGAAGATGTTCAATGGCGAATTGCGCATTATTGACAACGATGAAACATTAACCAACATTCAAAACACAAAGTCATACTTGCTTCATGAAAAAATGATTGATCAAGGTGCATTACACCTGGGCGAGGTACCTCAAAATGATAGGTGTCATCTCGCCGAGTTAAACCTGGGATTTAACCAAATAACTGATCAAGGTGCATCATACCTGAGTGATGCACTTCAAAGTGGTAATTGTCATCTCACCGAGCTATACCTGGGAGGTAACAAAATAACTGATCAAGGTGTATCATACCTGAGTGATGCACTTAAAAGTGGTAATTGTCATCTCATCTGGTTAAACCTGGGATTTAACCAAATAACTGATCAAGGTGTATTATACCTGAGTGATGCATTTAGAAGTGGTATCTGTCTTGTCACCGAGTTATATCTGATAGGAAACAAAATAACTGATCAAGGTGTATCATACCTGAGCGACACACTTAAAAGTAGTAAATGTCATCTCACCGAGCTATACCTGGCAGGTAACAAAATAGCTGATCAAGGTGTAAACCTGGGATTTAACCAGATAACTGATCAAGGTGCATCATACCTGAGTGATGCACTTAAAAGTGGTAATTGTCATCTCACCAAGCTATACCTGGGAGGTAACAAAATAGCTGATCAAGGTGTATCATACCTGAGTGATGCACTTCAAAGAGATAATTGTCATCTCAGCTGGTTAGACCTGGGATTTAACCAAATAACTGATCAAGGTATATCATACCTGAGTGATGCACTTAGAAGTGGTATCTGTCTTGTCTCCGAGTTATACCTGGGAGGTAACCAAATAACTGATCAAGGTGCATTACACCTGAGTGATGCACTTAAAAGTGCTAACTGTCGTCTCACTAAGTTACACCTGGGAGGTAACCAAATAACTGATAAAGGTGCATCATACCTGGCTGGTGCACTTAAAAGTCTCAATTGCCCTCTCACCGAGTTATACCTGGAGTCTAACCAAATAACTGATAGAGGTGCATCATGCCTGACTGATACGGCCTGTAAACTGTCATCAAACCATTACATCATGTCATGTCACACGTAAATTTAAATTTGGCTACTTACCTATATGCCTATATAATATATATACAGCCTTTTGCACAAATTATGAGACATYTTTATAYATATAAATATACCTAACCAAATATCAAAAACACCCCAGAAATTATGGTATATCTCTATTATATTTTGTCATGATTGCCTAGCRTCAGGTTGTTACAGACAAAATATCAGCGACGGTATCCCATAATTTCTTGGGTGTTTTTGATATTTGGTTAGGTATATTTATATATAWAAAAATGTCTCATAATTTGTGCAAAAGGCTGTATTGCTAGGATATTGCCTATATCATATATCAACTTAGCCATTGTAAATTTAGATTTGATTCTTTATACCTGATTAGTGCCAAACAGTTTTCTGTGCGGTACGAAACTATATAGTAGTAAATGTTKCCAAATCTTTAGTTGACTCATTTTTTCCAATAGTAAATATAACTTAATTTTAATCTGACTCTATCATCTGGCAATGCGGAATTACAAAGAGTTTGCAAGCAGCATCTATTTACTCCTTCATTCGAACTGTTGAAGGAGATCCATGCTGTGGCTAAGGAAGAACTRTTAGGCCTGATGGGGAACCTTGGACAAGTGAGGATAGAGGCAACAAAAGACCTAGGAAGAGAAGCTGCGGAATCCTTGATAGCGGGAGTTAGATTAAAGATAAGTAGACTTA